CTATACGGTATAACTTGAAAGTGGAAACAAAAATAATAATCCATAACAACTTCTAATCTTTGGGGTTTTTGGTCGGACATTACCTGTCCTGGCTCAATTATACTGATACTTTTGGGTAGGCCAATTAAACCACAAAGAAAATGTATTCAATGAATTTTTTTATGATTAAAAAATTTTGGCTAACCTTAGGTACATGTACTTTCATCATTGATTGTTTTTGTTTTAATTCAATTCGTTCCTATTACAAGTACAAGGAAACAAGTATCAATTGAAACAGTTTGGTACAGTACCTTCTCTTTGCTACTGATAGCATCTCTCAGTTTATATTCAGCTTGTTCAAGTATAATATAAGAAACAACCTGCATAGTTAAATTTATATAATACATCATTGATTGAAATTACTCATGATCAAAAATGAAATACATTTAACCAATAAATGACTACATACAAACCAACTGACGTCAGCATGCTGTAGTAAGTCTTGATCCTTTTCTTTTAGTTCCTATACAAACAATATTCATAAAATAATATTAATCTATTCATGTACCTTTTGTCTAACATCTTGTCTCCTCCATAATGTTAAGTTACCAATAGTCAGTTTCTTTAATCCTTGTCCCATTAGTATATGAATATTCTCCATTATCCTCAATACAGTAAATCCAACATCAGATAAAGGAAAGGAGCAAATGACAGATATTGAAGTGGAAGTTTCCTCATACTTAACAATCATCAAGAGTGTATCAAATAATCTTAAAAGCATGTCCCCAATCTCTTTAAACACACATTCCTCAGGTTTCCAGTCAAATATAGCAATTTCTGTTTTTTTCTTTTCTCTCTGTCTCTTCTCCTCAGCCTCTTCCAAATCTATTCAAATATCAACAATAAAATGATAACATACATCATCAATAAAACCTTTAATATCTCTTAAAAGCTTGTCACTGTGCTCTCTTTCAGCAATTAGTTGTGTATCTTTTAATTTTATCTTTTTCTGTAGCTTCTCTATATCATCTACTAATGG